TTCATTTCTTGGGGTACGTGTTGGGGTGTGTGTGTCTTTATAATAAAACAAACCCTGAATGCTGACATCATCTGGAAAGACAAAGAAAGACCCTTCTTCCCACCTGAGGAGCTGGTAGTAAGGAGAGGATTGCGGTGTGAAATCTAACATCACCTAATTGTGGCATTTGTGAGTTGATTTCTGGGTCCAGAGAGCAGTCTAGTCATTAAGGAGCCAGGCGAGAAACGAGGAGAGTGAGAGTTCAAGTCCATCCTTGGTCATAAAAGCCATCTTTGGGCCAATCACCAGGAGATTGTGAATACTAGTCCCCTCTTAGTCAGATGGGTGACTTTGTGCTAATCACCAGGAGATTGGGAATTCTGGTTCCCAATTAGTCAGCCAGTTGACTTTGGATTAATCACCAGGAGACTGGGAGTTCTAGTCCCCTCTTAGTCAGCTGGGTGATTTTAAGCCAATCACCAGGAGACTGGGAATTCTGGTCCCCTCTTAGTCGGCTGAGTGACTTTGGGGCCAATCACCAGGAGATTGTGAGTTCTAGTCCCACCTTAAACATGAAACCCATCTGGAAGACCGGGCCAGTCCTCCTCTCTCGGCCCAACTCACCTCACAAGGTTGTTATTGTGTGGAAAAGAGGAGGAGTCTTAGATATGTATGCTAGCTTGAGTTATTTGTAAAGTAATAAAGGTGCAATAAGAGAAATAAAAAAAACACATTTTTTTTCCTTCTCTTTCCACGTGGCAGCTTATGCCTGCATTTCTCAATACCCATTTCCCCCAACTTAATGTCCTGCCAATATGCTGACTGAAAGCTCCATTATCCCTAGCCCGTGGGAATTTGGACAGGTGAGACCTCCACGTTGGGAGCGTTTCGGGTGGTGGCTAGCTGGCTGCATATTTGTTTGTTTTTTAAGGAACTAACATTTGGGAGTCAGTTGCATAAACTAGCCATTTGTCCATGGATTGGTGTGGCTTCAATCTAAACTGTTGCTACACAGGACCTGATTATGTTCTGGGTGAGAGAAAAAGGAATGCCAGTGTAGTTTGAGACCATTGACAGAAGAAAACAAACAGGGCAGTTTTTTTGGAGGGTGGAGTTTATTTGCTCAGCAGATAAGTCAAGGATGTTATCAACATTGACCTAAAGGTAACTCTTTATAAAAAAATAAACATTTGGTTTGGGCATATGGGCGATGAATTGTTTTGGCAAGGACCAAGGTTTTTCAGCCATTTGCGGTTAGCTTCAATCTGCCATGAACTGTACTGGGCCTTCTTTGTTGTCACTTGATTTAAAAACCATCCAGCCATTCTGAAAGGTAAATGTTTGTCTCAGCAGTTGAGTCAAGTTGAATTGGCCAACTGATGCTAACTCAGTCTGTTGGGAAAATCTGCTTCCTTGACTTACAACCGTTCATTTTGCAACAGTTCAAGTTTCTTAAATAGTAGCTGGCAGTGTGCTGCATCTGCCAAAAAGGCCAACATAGGCCTTGGCTTCATTAACAGAGGGACAGAATCAAGATTACATGAAGTGTTAATGCTACTTCATAAGGCCTTGGTAAGGCCGCACTTGGAATCCTGCATCCGGTTTAGGTTGCCACAATGTAAAAAAGATGTTGAGATTCTAGAAAGAGTGAAGAGAAGAGCAACAAAGATGATTAGGGGACTGGAGGCTAAAATATATAAAGAACGGTTGCTGGAATTGGGATGTCTAGTTTAATGAAAAGAAGGACTAGGGGTGACATGATAGCACTTAGCAATAGCACTTGGACTTATATACCACTTCACAGTGCTTTTATGGCCCTCTGTAAGCGTTTTACAGAGTCAGCCTATTGCCCCCAACAATTTAGGTTTTACCTTTTATCCACCTCAGAAGGATGGAAGGCTGAGTCAACCTTGAGCCTGGTGAGATTTGAACTGCCAAACTGCAGGTAGCCAGCAGTCAGCAGAAGTAGCCTGCAATACTGCCCTCTAATCACTGCACCACCACAGCTCATCATGATAGCAGTGTTTCAGTGTCCAAGGCGCTACCATAAAAAAGAGGTGGTCAAGCTATTCTCCAAAGCATCTGAGGCAGGAGAAGAATCAATGGGTGGAAACTAATTAAGGAGAGAAATAACCTAGAACTAAGGAGAAATTTCCTGATAGAACAATTAATCAGTGGAATGACTTGCCTCAAGAACTTGTGAACGCTGCAACTCTGGAAGCTTTTAAGAATGGGGTTGGACAACCATCCAATGGCTGAAATGGTATAGGGCATGGGTCTTCAACCCCCGGTCTATGGATCGGCACTGGGCTGCGTCATGCCAGAAACTGGGCCCTGCAAAGAAGTGAATTTTCATCCATGGGATGCAGGCAGTAGGTGAAACCATACCCGCTCCGTTCCATCGTAAAAAACACTCCATGGAACTGGTCCCTGGTGCCCCAAAGGTTGAGTGCTGTTTGATATAGGGTCTCCTGCCTGAACAGGGGGTTGGACTAGAAGACCTCTAAGGTCCCTTCCAACTTCATTATTCTGTTACAGTGGCACTAAATGAAGTGACTTATAACTGGTCCTTATGACTGTCGCGACATGACCAGACTGGGCACTTGGCATAAATCCTGGCATCATATGATCCCTGTTGCAATCTTCTCAGTTGACTTCCAACAAGCAAAGTCGACTGGGAAAGCTGGTTTTGCAGAACAACCACATGATTTCATTAACAACCAGGATATAAAGGCTGTAAAATCAGGTGCAGCTCACATAACAACCACCTTGCTTAGCAATGGAAATTCTGGTTCCAATTGTGGTCATAATTTAGGGACCACCTCCATTACCCAAAATAATTTCAAAGAAGTCCTCTTGCTTGAAAATGTAATTATCTTTCAATTATACTGTATTCTATAGTAATATTACGAGGACAATACTACAATACCAACTACATTCTAGGCAGATTTTCTAATCTGCAGCTACAGATCCTGTTTATATAATTAGAGCAGGCATAATGTTCCTAAAACTAGGGTGATGGCTGTAATATATATAATATCTATCTGTATGTCTGTCTATCTATCTATCTATCTATCTATCTATCTATCTATCTATCTATCTATCTATCCAACTACCTACCTACCTACCTACCTATCTAAAGATAATCTATAGATAGATATCTAGATAGAGATATAGAGATAGATAGATACCGCAGCACAGATAGATAGACAGATAGATATAGATAGATATAGAGATAGATAAATAGATACTATAGAGTAGATAGATAGATATAGATAGATTGATATAGATAGATGGATATAGATATAGATAGATACCTTAGATAGACCACAATAGATAGATTTGCAGCATGTCACACTTCAGACAAATAACTCTTCCAGTGAGCTGAAATTTATTTTCCAGATAATGATAATAATAAAAAATAAATTTTATAATAAATTTTCCTCCGGTGCTCATGATTTCTTAAAAGCTCTGCCAGTTCTAATTTCAAGAACAAATGTCTTGATTTCTTTAAAATACATTCTACGAATCTCTGCATTATCTCTGTGTGCCATCCTTGTTTCTTCTTCATTAAACATCAAATCGGAATTCTCTGGAAAACAACCTGAGGGGAGGATGAAGAGATACAGTGCACCTTTCCAAATAAAAAATAAAAAAAGAGAAAAAGAATTGGTATTAAAAGGAAAAGTAATCCTCTGTCAGTGATACATTGACCTGGAAGCATTTCTACATTTGACCAAAAATGTTACTGCTTGAAAAGTATTTAGAAATTTAGACTTCCTATACTAGTCTATATTAATGTCCCATGTGGCAGGCTTAAATCAGTTCTTCTCAACCTTGGCAAGTTTAAGATGTGTAGACTACCAGAATTCCCCAGCCAGTATGCTGACAGGGGAATTCTGGGAATTGAAGTCCACACATCTTAAGCTGCCATGTTTGAAAAACACTCATTTAGAAGAAGCATGTCTCTGAAATCAGAGTGCCTGTCTGATCACATTAGGTACTAATATCACGCTATAAAGCCTTAGTAAGACTAGAGTACTGCATCCAGTTTTGGTCACCACACTATAAAAAAAATGTTGAGACTCTAGAAAAAGTGCAGAGAAGAGCAACCAGGATGATTAGGGGACTGGAGACTAAAACATATGAAGAATGGTTACAGGAACTGGGCATGGCTAGTCTAGTGAAGAGAAGGACCAGGGGAGGCATGATAGCAGTCTTCCAATATTTGAGGGGCTGCCACATGAAGGAAGGGTCAAGCTATTTTCCAATGTACCCGAAGGACAGACAAGGAATAACAGATGGAAATTAATCAAAGAGAGAAGCAACCTAGAATTAAGAAGAGACTTCTTAACAGTGAGAACAATTAACCAGTGGAACAGCTTGTCTCCAGAAATCATGGGTACTTCATCACTGGAGGTTTTTAAGAAGACTCTAGACAGTCACTTATCTAAAATGGTATAGGTTCTCCTGCTTGAGCATGGGGCTGGACTAGAAGACCTTCAAGGTTCCTTCCTTCCAACTCTGTTATTCTATTCTATTCTATTCTATTATTTTATTTTATTTGTTTGTTTGTCAAACAGGTACAAGATAACAAGTATAAGTATGAACATAGACAAGAACAAAGGGAGTAAATATAGATAAATGGGAAAGGTAAGACAGGTAAGCTTATGCATGCTCCCTTTAAGGACCTCTTAGGAATGGGGTAAAGTCCATGGTAGACAGTTTGAGGTTGAAGCTGTGAGGGGCTGAGGCTGTCACAACGGAATCAGGTAGGGCGTTCCAGGCATTGACCACTCTGTTGCTGAAGTCATATTTTCTGCAATTGAGTTAGGAGCAGTTTACCTTGAGTTTATATAAAGGAATGTACTAATGGTACATTAAGCTTGTGTGCATTCCTTCCTTTTATCAGTTGCGCATCCCTCCCTCCCTCTTGTCTATATAAAATAAAAACATGTTACTTTTTAAAAGCCAGTGGAAACAGCTGCACTCACTATTCTCCTTTTTTGTCTCCCCTCTAGCTTACCTGCAAGCTTCGCGGGCCCTCATGATCACTGCGTTGGTCCTGGGTTTCTTAGCAATTGTGACTAGCATGTTGGGCTTACAGTGCACCAAAGTGGCTGAAAACAACCCCAATGCGAAAGCCAAGTTGGCGGTCATCGGAGGAAGCTTGTTCATCCTGGCTGGTAAGCTTTCTTCTCTACAGGTAGTCCTCCGCTTACGAACACAATGGAGCCCCGATTTCTGTCACTAAGGGAAACATTTATTAAGTGTGTTTTTGTTCCATTTTATGACTTTTCCTTAGCACACAGTTGTTAAGTGAATCATTGCATTTTGTTAAGTTAGTAACATGATGGTTAAGCTTCCCTCACTGACTTTGCTTGTCAGAAGGTCACAAAAGGGGATCACAGGACCCCGGAATACTGCAACCGTCATAAGTATGAACCAGTTGCTAAGTGTCTGATTTCCTCCTCCCCAAGTTTTGTTTTATTAATATACAGTAATATATAAAAATTCCATTTCAATCAAACTGTGTTGTCTGGGTACAATTGTTTTTAGACAATTCTAATCAAGGTGTTTACAATAACATCACAATAACATTAATACTGTAGTAACAATAATATTCTGTTTGTCCATTTTAACAAATTTCCATTTTAACATTTATAAGTGTCTGAATTTTGATCATGTGACCATGGGGGATGCTGCAATGGTCGTAAGTGTGAAAAATGGTCATAAGTAACTTTTTTTCAGTGCCACTGAAACTTTGAAAGGTGACTAAATGAACTGTACTTGCCCTGGCTGTTCTCATTGGGTGTGATTAAGAAAGTACATATAGTCCTCGATTTATGCTCACAACTGAGGCCAAAATTTATGTTGCTAAGTAAGACGGGTTAAGTGAGTGGAGCCCCATTTTACGACCTTTTTGCCACTGTATTGTTAAGTGAATCTGACTTTCTCCATTGGTTTTGCTTACCGGAAGCCAGCTGGGCAGATTACAAAGGGTGACTTTTTTGCATCTGGTTTTGGTCACCTCATTATAAAAAAAGATGCTAAGACTTTGGAGAGAGTGCAGAGAAGATCAACAAAGATGATTATGAGACTGGAGGCTAAAACATATGAAGAACAGTTGCAGGAATTGGGTATGTCTAGTTTAATGAAAAGAAGCACTGGGGGTGACATGATAGCAGTCTTCCAATATTTGAGCGGTTGCCACAAAGAAGTGGGGGTCAAGCAAAGCACCTGAGAGCAGGACAAGAAGCAATTGGTGGAAACTGATCAAGGAGAGAAGCAACCTAGAACTAAAGAGAAATTTCATAACAGTAAGAACAGCTTGCCTTCAGAACTTGTGGGTGCCCCATCTCTGGAGGCTTTTTAAAAAAAGAATAGAATAGAATCGAGTAACAGAGTTGGAAGGGATCTTGGTAGTCCTCTATTCCAACCTCCTGCTTAGGCAGGAAATCCTACACCACTTCAGACAAATTGTTATCCAATCTCTTCTTAAAAACTTCCAGTGTTGGAGAATTGAAGACTGGACAGCCACTTGTCAGAAATTGTATAGGGTCTCCTGCATGAGTAGCGGGTTGGACTAGAACAGGGGTCACCAACATTTTGGATCTCAGGGACCACCAAACTCATAATTTTAAATCCCGCAGACCAGAGACCTGGGAAAATCCCAAAGAAAGTCTGCAGGAAAATTCCCCACTCTGTTTTCCTACCAATTGATCATTCTTTATTTGGGGTCGCAGGATACCATCTCCAGCTCTGTTCTCAGAGAGAGGGGGGGGGGAGGGAGGGAAGGAGGGAGGGAGGGAGGGTGAGAGAGAGAGAGAGAGAGAGACAGAGACAGAGACTTTTGGCTTCATGCAAGGAAAGCAGCAGAAGCAGCAGAAGTCTCTTTTTCTCTACCACAAACTCCGCCAGAAATGAGTCTTTGTGAGACTTGTCGCACTGGAACAGCCTCTTGGAGCAGGATGCCTTGCAGGGTCCCAAAGACATATTTCTGGCAGAGTTTGGGGGAGAGAAAGAAAGACTTTTGCTGCTTTCCTTGCCTACATCCAAAAGCAGAAGAAGGAAGGAGTGGAAAGAAACAGCCCAGTGGCCAGTCCAGGCGTGTGGGGCAAGTGGGGAAGTTCCCCCCTCTGCCCTTCCCCCCCTCCCCTCACTACCTTGTGTGATTCGCAATGCAAGTGATGCAACCCTTGTGTTCTCATGCGGCCTAGATTAATTGCTTTGAGGGGTGCTTTGGGGGTGACATTTCTCTGTAGATCACCGAAATCTTCTCACGGCCCACCAGTAGTCCCTGGCCCACTGGTTGGTGACCACTGGACTAGAAAGCCTCTAAGGTCTCTTCCAAATCTCTCATTCCATTAGTCTGATTGCATGACCCTGTCCAAATTTTGATCACATGACATCACGTGGCGACAATGCAATGGTGTGGAAAATGGTCACAAGTCACTTTTTTCAGGTGCTGTTGTAATTTCGAGCAGTCACTCTACGAACTGCTGTAGTTCAAGATCTACTTGCATTCATTTGATGTATTTCTGGAGAACCACCCATCATAGCTAGTACGGTGTGGTAATCAAGATGCTAGGAGGACAAAGACCCACATTCAAATCCATTGTCAGTTAGGGAAATTTACCTCAGGCTACCTCACAGGCTTCTTGTCCTGGGAAAATCATTGTGTAAATGCCCTAGAATTTAAATTCAACCTATGTTCCATATATATTTTTCCAAAATCATCAAAAGGAGAAGCGAGTGACAATATGTCCCAAAGGTGCTTTTTCAAGAGGCAACTGGACTTGTCCGGTTTTTCCTTGAAGACATTTCACTTCTCATCCAAGAAGCTTCTTCAGCTCTGACTGGATGGGTGGGGAAATTGATTTATACTCCTTGCAGACAGCTAGTCATTTACTTTCTTTTTAGAGAGTCGTTAAGGCCACCTGGAAGTTTATCTGTATCCTCAGGGTCACCTGAGTAGTGCAGGGTCTCTCCCCAAATATCTTTTTTTTTTCTATTCAGGTCTCTGCGGGATGGTGACCGTTTCATGGTACGCCTTCAATATCACCCGGGATTTTTTTAACCCGCTCTTTGTCGGGACAAAGTAAGTATCCAACACATGGATCCATATTCTTTTTTCTCTCTCAGTGTAGCCTAGGTCTAAGGTTGAAAAAAGAAAATGGCAGGATGGATTTTAGTGATTTATATTTTATATTTTATTTATATCCTGCCTTTAGGCAGCCTGGTGGCCTCGTGGTGAAAATGCTTGCTTCCCACTTGGAAGGTTGAAAGTTCAATCCTAGGTAGTAGCAGATGTTTCTCTCTTAGAGCCCAAAGAAAAAAAATATGTACTATGAACTCTATGTAGGCATCAGGGAGGGCATCTGGCCAGTAAACACTCTGGTCCAACTAGTTACCCCAACTCTATCCTGAATTGAGGGATTACAGAGTTGTAAAAAGAGAGTTTTATTTATATCCCCACTTTTATTATTTTTTCAAATTATTCAAGGTGGCACACATATCCAACACACCTTCCTCCTGTTCTCCACACAATGCCAACCATGTGAAGTGAGATGGGCTGGGAGAAAGAGGGACTGGCTGAAGGTCACTCAGCTGGCTCTCCTGTCTAATATGAGACTAGAACTCACTGTCTCCCACTTTCTAGCCTGCTGCCTTAACCACTAGACCAGTGGTTCCCAAACTTTTTCAGTCCACCACCCCCTTGGTGCTTCAAAGTCATCCTCAGTGCCCCCCACCCAGGGGTGGGGATTCAAATTTCTTAACAACTGGTTCTGTGGGTGTGGTCTAATTTGTGGGTGTGGCTTGGTGGTCATGTGACTGGGTGGGCGTGGCTTTCTGACTGGGCATGGCTTGGTGGTCATGTGATTGGGTGGGTGTGGCCAAGTGGCCAGGTGACTGGCAAACCAAATACAAGTGGTCCTCATTTAATGGCCGGTAGCTTAGCAAGTGTTCCAATTTATGACTGACCTCCCCAGAGCTACTTGACCTGTTTTTGGAGTTTTGAGAGTCATGCGCGTGTGTGTGTGTGCGCAAACACAGACACAGACACACAAACACACTCTACCTTCTAACCCTGCAGGAGCAGGTGGTTGGAATAAATATCTCATTCTCTTTCTTTCTTTCTTTCTTTCTTTCTTTCTTTCTCTCTCTCTCTCTCTCTCTCTCTCTCTCTCTCTTTCTTTCTTTCTTTTTTTCTTTCTTCTTTCTCTTTCTTTCTGTCCCTTCCTTCCACTCCCCCTTTCTTTGTCTATCCCTTTCCTTCCTTTCTCTTCCTTTCTCTCTCCCTTTTTCTTTCTTTACTTTCTTGTCTGCTCCTTCTCTCTTTCTCTCTTTCTCTCTTTCCCTCTCTATCTCTTTTTTCTTTCTCTCTCTCTCTCTCTCTTTCCCCCCCTCTCTCTCTCTATCCCTTCCCTAACCTATCTACCTATTTTCTGCCTAGGCAGGCATGGCCTAATCTGTCAAAGGTCTGGGCTAATCCTGCATCACCACGTTTCCCCTTTCAGAGGCCCCAACCCTTAATCTCCACATTTCCTCCTCCATGACCACCTCTTTCATCATTCCACAGCCGTGACTTTACCTTCCTCCCGCGGCTGGCTGCCAGGGAAGGCAAGCCAGGACTGAGCCATTGTTGTCGCTGGGCTCCCCACAGCCCATGTTGCCCTTGTCATGAATGCCTGCAGCCGCCGTGTTGTTGCTGTTGTTTTTTGGGTGCGGCTGGACTGCAGCGAAAGGCTGCTTTTTGCAGTGAAAATTACCGACCACTGGCTTGGCTTTGCTTTGCTTGCTTTTCCAATGCGCCACTGTGGCCACATTCTAGGTGCTGGCCCCGCAGGTCTATCTCAATGAGCATGCACCCATGGGACTTGCCCAAGCAAGTCTGATGCAGTCAATGAATGAGCCTTCATGCCTGGTGCCTAGAACACGGCGGCAGTGGCGCATTGGAGAAGCAGAGCAAATCTGGAGGTTGGTAATTTTCTCTGCAGAAAGCCTCCAGATGCCACGTGTTTTTCTAGTGTGACTGGAAAAAAAGTTGCGGCGTCTGGATGCTTTTTGAAGCGAAAATTACTGACCTCTGGCTTTGCTTGCTCTGCTTCTCCAATGCGCCGCTGTGGCCATCAGCGATTGTTGCTCATGAGCACAATGTCGTGCACATGCAATAAGGACTGACTGGGCAGGGAATGGAGGAGCAGGTGGAAAGGAGCGGGGCCAGCCAGGGGTCCGTTTTACTGGTTTTCTGAACTACCGGGAACTGTAATGAACTGGTAGAATCCAATCCCTGAATTGCGCCCTGTGAGGGGCTCACATCCAGCACTCCTCTGCCACTCTCCTTGCCTCTTAGTCCTCCCCTAAGGAACCACTACACTAGACCAAACTGCCTCTCATTTACATTGCATCAGGCTCCTTGGAAGAGAGTAAGACATATCCTTATGACTGGTTGCTTAGTGACTGTTGAAAGTTACAACAAAGAGACCTAGGGACTACTTACAACATATATTTGAAGTCACAATGATTAGGTCTCACTCACACACAGAGACACACACAGAAATCGAAGTCCAGCAATTTAAAGCCATTTGCTGAAAACTGCCATTTACTTCCTCGTTTGAATAAAATTGCTTCCCTGACAGCCGCAAAAGAGATTATAAAATTGGGTTGATCCCATGACTGCTCCATTTTACAACTATCATAACTTATGACTGCGATGGGCAGACTCCTTTGTAGTCATAATCAAGAACTACTTGTAGTGTACAATGACTAAGATTACTTAGTTTCTCAACCCTGTCATTGATTTGCTTTGTTTTGGGAGGCTGGGTGTGTGTGTAAGTTTTTATTGAGATGGCAGACAGATCTTCTAGGTAAGTTGAGAGTTACAACTTAAAGTTCTTATGATAGAAAAGCAAGTGGTATGAAGCCCGCAAGATGTGGAAAAATAGGCCATTCCTCCTCTTTGTTTCAACATAACAATACGGGCTAGTTGTGTAGCATCTCTTTTGACCTGTTCTTGTCTTTTAAAGATACTGCCAATTTTTTTTTATATGGAACGGAATAGAAATAGAATAGAATAGAATAGAATAGAATAGAATAGAATAGAATAGAATAGAGAAGAGAGTAGAATAGTGTAGAACACAATAGAGTAGAATAGAATAGAGAATAGAAGAAAGTAGAGTAGAGTAGAGTGAATAGAATAGAATAGAATAGAATAGAATAGAATAGAATAGAATAGAATAGAATTCTTTATTGGCCAAGTGTTATTGGACACACAAGCAATTTGTCTCTGGTGCATGAGCTCTCAGTGTAAATACAAACAACAAAGTGATACATCATAGATCATAAATCATAAGAGATAAACAACAATTGATAAATCATAATATACAATAGAAGAAGGTAGTAGGAAAGATGAGAAGCTGACAAGGATAATAGCAATACAGCCCACTACATAGGTAAATATCTTTAGGCCTAAGAGTATGCTGTAGGAGTTAGGTATTCAGCAGAGTGATGGCAAAAAAGTGATTATGAAAAAACTATCTTTATGTCTAGTTGTTTTGGCATGCCATGCCCTATAGCTGGCATCTTAATGAGCCCAAAATGAGGGATTTTAACAATTCCCTGTTCCAATTGCAGAAAGTTGAAAGAGACTGTTGGAATTCTTTTTTTTTCTGATGAGATGGAATAATTAAACAATTATTAATGTTGCCTTTGGATCCCAAGTTAAGTTCCTACTTAAAGATGTTGATTGCTAGGGGACTTTTGAGCCAAACCTTTGACTGAGCCCACCCTTCCTGATAGATCCAGAAAAGTGAAATATCAATGCATCAAACAATCAACCAGCCCACCAATCAATTTTATCCCTTTGTTTATTCAGATACGAAATTGGACCTGCCCTATATCTAGGCTGGAGTGCTTCCTTGCTGGTGATCATTGGAGGCTGCTTTCTGTTCAGTTCCTGTCGGAACAACTCATCCCAGGAGAACAGGTGAGAGGATAGGGCTGGTGTGTCTCATACAGGTAGTCCTCATTTATGACCACAATCGAACCCGACATTTCTGTGGTTAAGTGAATTTCACTCCAACTTATCACCTGTCTTGGCACAGTTGTTAAGTGAATAACTGGAGATGTTAAGTTAGTAACGTGGCTGCTAAGTGAATCTGACTTTTTGTTCTGACTCAGCTCCCCAAACATGACAAACCCTCTGAAGTTAACTCAAAGATTCCTTTATTAGGAGTGCTGGCAGCCTGGCAATAAATTTCTATCTCACCGCAAGCTAACTTGTCCGTCCGGCCAGGAGATGAATAGTTGTCTGCCACAAATATTCATATCCTCCCCCTGCCTTTTATCCCCAGAGATAGGGTGGTTGCTTCGCTAGCAGTGGTGGTTCTTCTTTCCCAAGGATCAGCCCATAGATTTCCATCACTCTCCTCTCCTCTGCCTTCCACGCATCTGCGCCTCAGGCACTGGACCCAGCTATTCCTCCTCTTCCCCATCAGCCACTTCCAGGCCTGGTTGCTGTTGACTCTCCATCTGAGGGCTGACGGACAGCCCAAGGTCTGCCTGTCACTCTCTGACAGCTCCATTCCCTCTTCCTCCTTGGAGCTCTTAGGTTGCCTGGATGCTGATTCTGACTCCCATGCTTCCTTCTCTTCATCTGATTCAGCTGCTAGAGGGGCCAGGCAGCCAACAGGCCACCACATTTTTACTTATTAGAAGGTCACAAAAAGGGGATCCCTTGACCCCAGGACACTGCAACGGTCAGAAATCTGAGTCAGCTGCCAAACCTCTGAATTTTGATCACATGCTGCAACAACCATCAGTGTGAAAAAATGGTCATAACAAGTCCCTTTTCTTGTTGCTGTTGTAACTTTGAACGGTCACAAAATGAAGATGTTGTAAGTCAAGAACTACCTGCACTTCTCTGAAACCTTATTGAATCCAAATGCTGATATCTCCCTCTTCTTCTCCTAGCTACACTTATCCCTACAAAGCCCCGAAGAGTGGCACGTCGGCTCACAACCCCTCCGTCTCTCGTCCCCGCAGAGAGTCCAATGCTAGCAGTAATGGCAAGTATGGTAAGAATGCCTACGTCTAACCTGGGAAATGGTGGATCATTTTGAATGCTTTCCTGGGAACCCGGTAGGCCGAAGACTCTTCCAAAGATGACCAGTTACCAAGGGAGAACTTTTTTTTATTGTTCGGTTTGGACTTTCCTACGTTGTGAGGATGCTCTGAACCTAAGGTGGACTGAAGGATATTTCTGGGTCAGATCCTGGCCAATATTACATTGGGCAAAGTTATTTATTGCCAAGAAGTGTATAATGGACTTTTAATATACATATACATACATACATACATACATACATGTGTGTGTGTGTGTGTGTGTGTGTGTGTGTATCTGTTCAGCACGGATGAAGATTGCTTCTCAGATTTTTGATGTCCATTGTTCAGTAGTATTGATGTGACCAATGACGGGGATTGAAACTCAAGTTAAATCACCTCCTGTCACTCAAGGGGACATGAATGTATGTGTGAGAAACTGATCCATGCTTGGAGGACATCACAACTGGAGGCCTTATTCCTAATTCAAAATACTAGGATATCCCTAATACAGAATGGCGATTGACCTCCCAATTGGGTGTATATGTTTCCCTCCAGTCAACATTTCTAACGGCTGGAAGTGCTAAATTGTGTGTTTGTGTGTGTGTGTGCATGTGTGAAATCTTTTTAGGGGAAAATGGAAGTTAACCATTGGATTGAATGGTACTGTTATTACGATTGCCTAAAAAAATAATCTCAGCAAAAGATCAGCATCCAGGAAGGCCTTAAATTTTGAAAAGAGTGCCATGTTCGCAACCCTAGCAACTTTGTGTTGTGTGGACTTCATTTCCCAGAATTGCTGAGTGGGGAATTCTGTGAGTTGAAATCTACCCATCTTCAAGTGGCCAGCCAAGGTTGAGACACATTGGACTGTGGCTTATTTTGATTCGTTGTCTTCTGCGAGTTGACTGTCTTGGGTTGGAGAACTTCAATCTATGGATATTCCACTAACCCACCTTTCCCCAAAGCAATATATAGGATGGAGTTTAGTAGCTGGCCATCTGCTTCTGCCAATAATATAGAGAGCGAGCTTGAGATCTTTAGAAGAAAATGGACCTGAATAATTGGTTTCCATTTCTTCAAGAACAGGGCTATCAACACAAGGCCTGTGGGCGGGATCCGGCCTGCAATTTGGTCAGATCTAGCCTACGGGACCATCCTGGAAAATTTAAGAGGCCAACCCGTGTCACTTCAGCCCAGTCTACCCAATTCCAAGAAGCAACAATGGGCCAGCATGGCTTTGGCCCGGTCTACCCAGTGCGAAGAGGAAACATGTTTAGCAGTTTGGGGAGTGGCGGCAAGCTGGCCACGCCTACCCAGTTGGCCACTCCCAGTGAGTGGTGGCAAGCTGGCCACACCCACCCAATTAACCCCCCCCCACACACATCCAAGTCAACCACAGCCCTATTGTGGCCCTCAATGAAATTGAGTTTGACACCCCTATTCAAGAAGGAAATGAAGGTACAGCCAACCGAAAGAGGGAATCCTCCCCATTTTGAGATCTGACAGACTTTCAAATACTTCATAGGCTTTGGTTTCTCAACCCTTAATAACTTAAGTCATGGGGACTTCCATTCCCAGAATTCCCTGCCCAGAGGGATTCTGGGAATTGAAGTCCACCCATCTTCGACTGTAGAGCTTGAGAAATGCTGTTTTACAGGATTCCTCCTTTAGATTATTATTGCACAAAAATGTTAAGAAGGAAACTTGACAGGAGTTTTAGCAGCAGCTATTTATTTTTGGGCTAAGTATTGATCAAATCGGAGGCGCTGAGCAAATGGTGACTTGGCTTCCTTCCTACCTGCCACAAGAATTGGAACGACATGAGGGTGTTTTGAATTATGCCGCATCTTGGAACCACAAGCTTCTGCTACCTGGCTGCTGAGGAGTACAACTCAAGTTTATTGTCATACGTTTTTAAAAAAGAAAGAAGTAAACATGTCTGTGACCTGTTTTATATAAAGACACACTGTTTGCAACTGCAGTACCCAACTTGAGTTGTTGTCTTTGGAATTTCAACATGGAAAGTCAGAAAGGGTGGGAGGGGAGATCAGTGAATTAATCTTACTGAATTCAATGATCTAACCAGATGGATGGGGTTGCACAGTGGAGCACACGCGCATTTCCACCTCATCTCTGGTTTGAGCCCAGCCATATCACATTTATAGCACTTAAGACTTACATGCCCCTTCACAGTGGTTGATAGCACTAAGGGATTTACAAAACCAGCCTACTGTCCCCAACAATCTAGATCCTCGTTTTATTGACTTTGGAAGGATAGAAGGCTGAATCAACCTTAAGCCGGTATGGATTGAACTCCTGGCTGCGTGCAGAGTTAGGCCTGCAATACTTACTGCATTGTAACCACAGCTCTTGCAATCTGGCATTCGTAAAAATATTGTACTAAATCCATGTGCTTCTTGTTCACATATGAACTGTTCCGGTTGAAGATTTGAACTAGGTGTGTTCAAATTAGAACTCGAGAGCAGAGTTCTAATCTAACACTAGCTAGAGAAGACCTCCTTGCTAGCTTTAGATTGGTCACATTGAACCGATCTGCCCAATCTATATTTGGGTTTGTTATGGGAAGAAAATCAGAAGAGACACAGCCTTGAATTCTGGAACACAAGCCAGGATGTAAATTTACATACTGTCCTTGATTTAGGAAACATATTTGGGGCCAGGATTCATTGCTAAGGCCAAGGTAGTTGCTAAGTGAGTTGTGCCTGATTTTTAAACTGTTTTGGCCATGGTTCTTAAGCAAACCACTGCAGTCATTAAGCGAATCACATGGTTAAGCAAATCCAGCTTCCCCAATTGACTTTGCTTGCTGGAAGCAGGCTGGGAAGGTCGGAAATGAGTCACTTAATGCCAGGACGCTGCAATTGTCATAAATGCAGGTAGTTCTTGGCTTACAACAGTTCATTTAGCAACCTTTCGAAGTTACAACCGCACTGAAAAAAAATGGCTTGTGACTGTTTTTCACACTTATGACCACTGTAGCATCCCCATGGTCATGTGATGAAAAATTCAGATGCTTGGCAAATCGACTCCTATTTATGATGGTTGCAGTGTTCTGGGGTATGTCAAGTACCTTCTGACAAACAAAGTCAATGGGGAAACCAGATTCACTCAACAATGGTGTTATATAAGTAACTGCAGTGATTCATTTAACAACCGTGGCAAGAAAAGTTGTAAAATGGGGGGTAGGGAGGAAAAATTCCCTGCTGAACAAATGTCTCACTTAGCCACAGAAACTTTGGGCTCAATTGTGGTTGTAAGCCGAGGACTACCTGCACTTGCTGGTGGCCAAATGTGTGAATTGTGGATCATGTGAACATGGGAATGCTGCAAGAGAGTTGTGTAAGGACTAGTGGTAAGTCACTTTTTCCCTGTAAAAAGTGCTGTAACCTTTGAGTGGTTGTTAAACCAATGATGGTAAGTCAAGGATTATCTGCAATGAATATGGAAGCAACTTCTGTGTATCTTCCAGCAAGGTAGGCTCTTAGGGGTGGGCTTCAAATTCTTTAGCAATGGGTGGCCTAGTTGGCCTCCTGCACCATGGCAGGGATGTGTGTGCATTTTTCTCCCTTCCAGGGCTCCAGAGGCTTTCCTTGAGCCTTCCCCAAGTTCCAGAGGCTCTATAAGACTTTGTTTTATTAATCATCATTTGACCAACGCACAGTGTTTTGTTCCAACTTGGAACATTTTGCACATATCCTAAAAGGGAAACCTCACATTCTCCAAAGCACCTGAAGGCAGAATAAGAAGCAATGGATGGAAACTAATCAAGGAGAGAAGCAACCTAGAACTAAGGAGGAATTTCCTGATAGTTAGAACAAGGAATCAATTAACAATTTGCCTCCAGAAGTTGTGGACACTCCATCATTGGAGGTTTTAAGAAGAGATTGGATGGCTATTTGTCTGAAAGGGTATAGAGATCTCCTGCTTGAGTGGGACGGGTTGGACTAGAAGACCTCCAAGGTCCTTTCCAACTGTTATTCTCATCCATTACTATCAGAATTTAGTAAGATAGGGTAGAACAGAACAGAAGGATAGGATAGGATAGGATATTAATATAGAGTAGAATATAGAATTCAGCTCTTTGTCTCAGGCTTGTTTGCAAGAATTGGAGACCACAGCCCTAAATGTTGATTTGTAAAGATGGCCACCAGCTTTGATGATTAATAAAACAAAGTCTTATACGCAAACAGCGGAAGCATGTTATGTGGAAATAAGGCTGTTCTCTGCAACATGTATACATTTATTTAAAAATATAACCCTCTTGCCTATTTGTGTTTGTGTGTGTGTGTGTGTGTATTGAGTGGTATGTAGCATTCACACACACACCACCACCCCACTTGGATGATTTTAGAAAGCAAAATCGGGCAACAAGGGACTGGTTCTTATGTTGTATTTTTTCCACTGGATGTGACACTCAACAGATATTGTGTTCTCTTGGAATAAGTACACTTGAAAACGTTGACAGAATGTTCCAGATCGATCTATTTAACTCAGAACCGGAAACAAAAAGATTTCTCTTTTATGCACAGCCCTACCTATTCGTACTCCAGTCTTACCCAACTACACCCAGTTTAAAATGCTCGCTTTCAACCCGAGTTAAAATGTATTTTATTTTTTTCTTCTGGCTCAGAACTCGGGAGGCAAATTATGCTGAACCTTCAGCCTTCTTAACTCAGCACTTTAGGTCGCTTCCTCAACCTTTGCTCCAGCAAAATGCTAAAGGTTGAAAAAAAAATCAATTATTTCTGCAATACAAAATGTTTAATCTTGACACTTTCTTGGTAAAGACAGGATATTAATACCTCTCCTTAATCTTTTCCCCCCCCTTGAACTCCGATGACAACTGAAACAGACAAAGTTTATGTAATGACTGTACTAGATAAAAATGGAAGGAGGAGGAGGAAATTTTTTTTTAAAACTAACTGTAGAAAAAACGGTGAGTGGTAGAGCTGTCCGACTATGCCCAGAAAATATTAAATTCTGGGACAGAGGGGAGGGTATCACGAAGGGTATCAATTTTTGTTTCTGAATCCATACTGTTCTTCAAGTCCTCCTCCAGTATTTGAAAGAAGGATCAGTCAATGTGCAAAACCAACATCCATCAATAAAGAACACCATCCAGAAAGGCTCAAAGCAACCAAACCAACCTTATTTTTCTTCCCCTTTTCCAGTCTAACACAGGGGTTTCCTCCTCATTTCAAGGTTGAAAAGATCTTGCCCCAAAAGTTTAAACCTCCCCCACAACTCCTTCCCTACCGAGAGATGGCACAAAAACACAATTCTTGGCAGGAGCCAGCTGGCCTTTTCTCCCGTCGGCATCTGTTACTGAAACCACACATGGCATGAATCAAATGTCAACATGTCCAGCCAAGCTTTTCTTTGGGAAGGTGAACTCAAAATCGCATGCTTTTCCTTTAAGAAAGATAGAGAGAAAAAGGAGAGAGAAAGAAAAAAAAAAGCGGGGGGAACACTTTTGCCTTGCTGGGATTTAAAAATGAACTGTTTACTTGGCAAAGGGCTGGCAGAGCTTCTCGGGTCTTGCAGGTGCAACAAAGAACTTGAAAGATGTTTAGATGGACTACAAGGATTGAGCTCAACCTAAGTTTGAAAACATCCCTAAAAAAGATGGGATGCACAGACGGGTTTAAGGCTCTGCATGCATCATAAATCCCCCTCTTCCCAATAACTGTTTCATGGGAATCGCAGCTAGAAGCAAGAGGTCGCCATCTTCCTTGTGGTCCAGGTTACTATCTTGAGGAACAAATTTCTGTTCATCTGGAAAGGGATACTTGAAAATATAAATAAGGAAACTAACCTCCCTCCCCCAGTTTCCATTTGTGTAGGAATTGTTATTGTCCTCTTTGTGTCCAACTCACTGGCCAAGGTGTTGCATTGGTCTTCGGGGGGCTCAGGCGGATTAATTGAAATGAAACTTAAAATGAAAGTTCCCAGAGCCAAAGGGGTTAAATTCGGATGCCCACTGGTGCTGATGTCCTGATCCTCCTTGTTGATTTTCCGGGTCTAAAGGATCCTCGCCAGAGTCGAATTTCTGTCGCATTTCTGGAAGGTGGGGAGAGAAATAAGAGAATAACAGAATTGAAAAGGGACCTTGGAGGTCTTCTAATCCAACCCCCACTCTCTAACAGTAGACCCTATGCCATTTCAGATAAGTGGCTGTCTAACTGCTTCTTAAAAACCTCCACTGATGCAGGACCCACAACAACAACCAACTGAGAAGATGTTAGGGGTGGGTGGGAAGACCAGGCTAAGATCAGGAGATGGTCTTAATTTGGTATTGTCAGCACTCACAGGAAAACCGGACAGGAAACCTGAGCAGATGAGACAATTCTACTGTCAAATTGTAAAATATTCCTATGCCTGTTCTTGAGTTGCCATAAAGGAAGAAAGGAGGGAGATCTGAAGGAGCAGTATGACAGTTTAAAACCAGAACTACATTCCACCCTTATCTTACAAAGATTGTAGCTAAGCTACCGGATTTTCTGCCCACGAAAATCCTTCATTGGAGAATGTGATTGATGACACCAAGCCCACGAATGTGCTTCATTGGAAAATCTGATTTATGATACGGGGGGGACGGGGGGGGGACAGGGTCACAGATGACTGTAAATTACGCATACCAGAGTTGGTTTCATTTAGGTTAATGCTGACATGTTGCTCCTAATAAATCTTTTGAATTTTTTTGAAGCTTGGCTTGAAGCTCCTGATCTAATTAGGGCAATCCTCAGAACCCTGACATCTACTTTGTTGTAAGGTTACATCAGGGGTGTCAAACTCAAGGCCCGTGGGGTGCTTAGAACTGGCCCATGGGGCTGTCCTGGAAATAGGGAAGGACCAGCCTGTGGGGCCTCTGCCATTGAAAATGGAGCTTGGGATGGTTGCGTGTGTAATGTTATGTACATCCCTGGGCTACATTAATAGAATCTTGCAAGTCTGAAAATACAAATTTCCCACCATCATCTTTAACAATTAGAGAAGATCCTTTTTAAGCTTCTTTCTGTACCCATTAAGCCATCATGGGTTCTTCGTACTTTTATCTGATCCTTCCCTAAGCAGCATCTCTTCTCCTGTCCCTCAAGGTCACTCCCACAAACTATTTCAGATATTTACCACACCTACTGATAGATATTTCCGCATCTGGTTTTTCTGCTCTTTTCCCAAAACTGTTTTTTCAAAAGGTAACTGGACTTTTTTGTTTGTTTTTTTGTCAAAGATGCTTCGCTTCTCATCCAAGAAGCATCCTCAGTACTGACTGAATGTGGGGAAATGAATGCTGTATGCTCCATCATTTGGGATAAGAAAGGATGAGAAAACTGCTTTATCTGCAAATGCCCCCTTTTAGAGAAAAAGGAGAAGGTTATGATAAGCTCAGTCATTTTACCTGGATCTGTCAGGACCTCTTTAGCAGCTGCAATGTCGATGAATTTTTTCTCAGCTTCCTTTTTCTTGTCTTCCGACTGGAAATTGTCGGGGTGCCACTGCTGAGCCAGCTTTCGGTATGCTTTAATGATCTCCTGCTTATTGGCATTCCTGGGGGGCAGGAGAAAGAGGCCTGTTTAGGATAGGGAGATCTGAAGCATCCCTCCCTTGGGGGCCAAAAATTAGCTCCGTGTTATGAACAATACCCAGGAGAAGCTTCATTTGTCATCCTTCTGCTGGTGGGAATATGGAGGGCAGGGAGAATGGCAGATTGCAGGAGGCAAATTAAAAAGAAACAACCAAAAGAACTCCTTTTGTCTACAGTATGTCCACAATGCTATAATTATTGGAGATTCATACAGATTCACACAGAAGTAAAAATATTTTGAACTACACTCCTATAAATGAGTTTAGAGCCCAAGCGGTGGTTTCTTTTCCTTCTCACCTAATATATAAAGATAATCCAAGATAGGTTTGATGAACTTTTTCTATTAGGTATAGCACCAATACCATGCGATGGGGTGAGTTGCCACCTAGCAGTTCGAAAGCAGACAAATGCAAGTAGATAAATTGATACCGCTTTGGTGAGAAGGAAACAGCATTCTATGCTCCTCGGTTATATATGCTATGCTCCTCGGGTATATTCCTGCTGCCACATGACTACAGAAGTGTCTTTGGACAATGCTGGCTCCCTCAGCTAAGAAACACAGATGAGCACCCCCTAAATTCGAACATGACTGAACAGGGGAAATCTTTACCTATAGTTCATAGGTATTTGAGAAGTTCTCACTCTTACGGGACTCTGCAATTCTAAGCCATAATGAGATCTGCTTCTTTGGGGCTAGGTTTGAGTCTACCAATTATGACTTGGGTGAGAACAAGCTGTTGTGGCTTAGTCAACAAGCTATGGTTTATAAAAACAGGCTTGGCTGAACGTGCTGTTCATTCAGGCAAGATGGCCTTGTTAATTCAATAGATTGTTTTTTTTTCCTTGTAGAAAGAAGCCTTGAGGTGACAAAAGTGCAACAACTGCTCTGGCTTCCCAAAATCATTAAACCAGGACTTCAACCTTCATGGTTAGAGTACAGTACAGGTTTTAACGTTCTATTACAGGGGAATTCCTCTCAGCAGTTTTAATCCTGGATTGTGAAAGACATTGGATACCAAAGATGAACCTGCTTACCTCTGAATTCCAAGAATTTTGTAATAGTTCCTCTTCTTGGATTGTTTCAGGAGTTTCTGTGCCCTCTCGAGTCCGTCTTTTAATTCTTCATTTTCAGCATCAAATTCTTTCGCTTCTTGATAATCTTCAATGGCTAGAGATTAAAAAAAAAGGCTAGTTTTAATCCTTTAAATGTGAAAGTTTCCTCCCCTTCCAGCTTTGACTCTTCGGTCAAAGACTTTTATAGAATTCCATTAAATGGAAATATGCAACCTTCATCTACAAGTAGCAGATACTCTTCAGGTTATTAGTTATTCTCCAAAAATAGGCAGGGGTAGGACTCATATTTAGAGACCGTGTTAATCCCAAGGCACCCATTTTAGGAACTTTAAGGAGTAAAAAGTGTCTTGCAAGGTTCAGGGCACCCATCCCAAAGACGCTTTCCCCCCATCCCCCAATGGCAATTGGACTTTCTTGTGTTTTTTTTTCTTCAAAAACATTTTTGAAGCTTCTTGGATGAGATGCAAAATGTTTTCAAAGGTAAAAACCAAGAAAGCCCAGTTGCCTTTTGGAGTGGGGGAGGGGGAAAGCACCTTTGAGACAACCATGGCCTGGATGACTCAGAGTCACCATTGATGTTCAAGGCACTAATTTTACCCCTTAACCTCCCAAATGTGAAAAAAAGAAAGAAAAGGAAAAGGAGGCCGGAGTGTACACCTATCCATCTGGTGTGTGTGTTTGTGTGGTGCTCTAGAGCAGAGGTATCAAACATGCGTTGTCACATTATCACATGATATATCACACCTTTTTTCCCTTTTGCTAAAACAGGGATGGGCGTGGCCAGTGCATGACTTACCGGCCCATTGGCCGCGAGTTTGACAACCCTGCTGTAAAGGAATTGGTGGTGAGCCATATATCTCCCTTCCAGCTACATTAAAAAAAAAAAATCTGCAGTAGCATTAGGTGCACAATTATAACATGATATAACAGAAGAGATCCCATTTCAGTAATTGTTTGGTATTTGGTCCCATTTTTGTCCCTGCTGATAATAAAGTCTTGGGTTTTTAAAAAAACACTCTCAGGTTCGAGATATGAGATGTTTGGAATCGCTTTTTGTTGCCTCTGGATGAGATTCTTAGGTGGGCTGGAAATGAACTATTGGGCTTGCTTCATGTGGCTTCTGTATTTTGCGATTAGAAAGTGGTTTGACCAGAACGATAACATTTGCCAAGAAATGTATAAGCCAGAAAACCAGTCTGAAATTGCGGTTAAGGCTTGGAACTAGGAAACTTTGAGTTCTAGTCTTGGTTTAGGCACAAAGCCAGCTGGGTGACCTAGCTAGTCATACACTCTCAGCCCTAGGAAGGAGACTGTGGCAAATCACTTTCGAAAAGCCTTGCCAAGAAAATAGCAGGGACTTGTCTAGGCCAGAGGTGTCAAACTCCGGGCCCATGGGCCAGATTCAACCTGTGGAGTGCTTAGATCTGGCCCGCAGGCTGGCCTCAAAACAGCAAAGCACCGGCCCGCAGTGCTTCTGCTAGCAAAAATGAGGCACGGGTGCCCTCATTTTTGCTGTCAGAGAGCTATCAAAACAAACTAAAAACAAAAGGAGAAATGTTTCCCTTTTTGAATTTGAGCATCCAAGAGACAGGAAAGGAGAAAGAAGGAAGACAAAGAAAAAGAAGGGAAGGTGGGAAGAGAGCAAGGAAGAAAAAATAAGGAAAGAGGGTAAGGAAGTAGAAATTAGAAGGAAGAGAGAAGGAAAATGAAAAGGAAGATTATGTGAGGGAGGGTCTCAGGGAAGTCCTGCCTTAGCACTTGGCCACTCCAGGTGCCCCCCTCCCTGACACTAGTCCCATGCCATGCCCACCCAAACCCACCATGCCATGTCCCTTGGCATGGCTCCCCCCTCCGAGGTCAAATACAAGCCTGATGTAGCCCTCAATGAAATTGAGTTTGACACCCCTGGTCTAGGCAGTTTTTGAGAATTAAACATGACTGAACAGAATAAAAAATAAACAAGCAAGGTTGTTAAGCCTGGGATGAAAAGAGAAATTAATCAGATGAAACCCCTGCCCCCCCATGGTGGCAATGAGTTGTCTCAGATGCTGACCTTTCTCAAATTCTTCATTAAGGATGAAAGCCTCTGCTCGGTCGCGCAGGATGAAAATATTTCTGGGATCAAGCTGATGGGCTTCGCTGCAGAGATCTATTGCTTCTGCGGTCCGTTTGCTCTGGAACAGGAGGTAAAATGCTTTTTTTAATCAGGGCAACCTGGTCTACCCAAATACGGGACAGGGCATACTGCTTCCACTTTTGCCTTTCAGCCCCAATCCAGAAGCTTCGCAGGTAGTCACTTTCGCGACAAATTATTTTTTGTGTTGAATTTATATTATACCAACAAAGAAATAAAGGGAGAATACTATAGATCTATTTCAAGCTAGTATTTAGCCCAGGTATGAAGGGTATGGCTAGCTGAGGAGGGTATGGCTAGCTAAGGAGAGCTAAATAACTTAAAATAGATCTATGCTAATCTCCCTTTATTTCTTTGCCAGTAGATATAAATTTAACAGGAGGTAAAAGAGATGCAGTGGCTCAGTGGTTAAGACACTGAGCTTGTTGATCAGGAAAGGTCACCCATTCGGCAGTTCGAACCCTAGCACCATGTAACAGAGTGATCGCCCATTACTTGTCCCAGCTCCTGCCAACCTAGCAGTTCAAAAGCATGTAAAATGCAAGTAGAAAAATAAGGACCACCTTTGGTGGGAGGGTAACAGTGTTCCGTGCACCTTTGGTTTTTAGTCATGATGGCCATATGACCATGGAGGCATCTTCGGATGGCGCTGGCTCTTTGGCTTTGTAACAGATGAGCAGTGCCCCCTATAGCCGGAAACGACTAGAACCTATGTGTGAGGGGAATATTTACTTTTACCTTAAAAGAGAACTGCGATGTTTGGTGCTCTTTGTTCGACTAACATATTCACAGATCCCTTCCTGGCCCTGGCCGTTTGCTCCAATCTACCCCATGATCTCACAATAGGACTCTAATAACATACCCTCAAGTTAATTTTATTTACTTGATCATTTTAAAGAAATGCATAAGCCTTCCCCAATGGAATACTGTTGATTCTGGACAGCTTACAGAAAGTCCTTTGAGTTATCACCAGAATGGAGTCTGCCCTTTAGGTTGATTAACTTCTAATGGTTGGTCATGTGACTGACTTGATTTTACATTTTTGTGATGGGTCATTAAGCCAAAGGAATGGTCCTAAATGTGAACACCTGGTCGGTAAGCAAGCATGGCAGTTATAAGTACAAACCCAAAGTTTTTTTTTTAAAAAAAACAAACACAGTGGTTGTAAGCGCAAATCCATTGTGGGTGTGGTTTTGCTGGAAATAAGTGCCAGTTTTTGGCAAAACTGCCATAAAATGGGGTTGTAGGTCTGCGGGATGCCGCAAATGCCCGAATTGTGGTTGTGTGATCTGGGCAGGGGAGGCATGACCATCAGAACTTAGATCTGGGTCGTAAGTTCTCCTTTTCAGGTAGGTCATAATGTCTAACGGTCACTAAGCAACTGGTCATAAGTCAAGAACTACCTGTACAACGAATTCCTCAATTAAGCAAAAACAACCAATTCCATCAGAATATAAACAGATACTCTCTAAATCATCAGGAACTTGCAATTGTTAGCCTCCTCAAAATGAGGACTCCCATCAACCTGTCCCAGGAACCCAAGAAAAAATAAATAGGTTTTTAATGCCTTTTGAATGGGCCAGGAGGATTTGACAACTAAACCCGCCCTGTGCCATTTCTTCCAGCAAGTAGAAGAAAGGTCAGGAGAATTCTGGGGCAAAATACCTGAAAAAACCTTTTTAGTGCATCTTTTTACAATTTCAGAGTCCTGCAAATGCCTTGGGTTATGATTTCTATTAGTACTGGCTAGCGTGGTCCTCCAAAACATCTGGAGATATGCTTGGCCAAGGGTTCAGATCAAGGACCACGTCTCCACTGAGCTGTGGTGGTTAGAATGCAGTTTTGCAGGCTGATTCTGCCCACTGTCAAGAGTTTGATCCTGATCGGTTCAAGGTTGATTCATCCTTTCATCCTTCCAAGGTTGGTAAAATGAGGACTCAGGTTGTTGGGGGCAATATGCTAACTTGTAAACTGCTTAGAGAGGGCTGTAAAGCACTGTGAAGCGTTATATAAGCTCTATTGTTATACAGGAAGGAAGGAAAATCTCAGATAGGTGGAGCAATAGAACCAGACAGGTAGACAGAGGCCTGATAGTAGATCCAGGAAGCAAGCACAGATCCCCATTTCAAATTTATGATATTAAGCATTTGCACTTTCTCTGGCCTCTGGCCATATTCTATCAACCCAGGCAGCTTCCCAAAGATGATGGTTAATTACCAGGAACCCAAACTACCGGAGCAATCTGGAACTGAACACACTCGAAACCGCAGAAATGGTGGTAGATTTTAGGAGAAACCTTCCCATGCTACCACCTATTACAATACTAGACAATACAGTATCAACAGTAGAGACCTTCACATTTCTCTGTTCTATCATATCTCAAAACCTAAGATGGATGCCTAGTATAAAAAACATCATCAAAAAAGCACAACAAAGAATGTTCTGTGCCAATTCAGAAAGCTCAAACTGTCCAAGGAGCTGCTGATCCAGTTCTACAGAGGAATTATTGAGTCTGTCATCTGCACCTCTATAACTGTCTGGTTTGGTTCTGCAAGCCAACAAGACAGACACAGACTTTGGAGAGTAGTTAGGACTTCAGAAAAAACAATTACTACCATCTGTCTTCCGTTGAGGACCTGTATACTGCACGAGTCAAAAAGAGGGCTGTGAAAATATTTACAGACCCCGCCCCACACATCCTGGACATAAATTGTTTAAACTCCTACCCTCAAAACAATGCTATAGAGCACTGCACAGCACTGCACAGCAGAACAACTAGACACAAGAACAGTTATCACTTTACTAAATAATTTCCTCAACACTGTCCAACTATTTACTAAGTCTGCATGATTATTACTATTAATATTCTCATCATTCTTATCACCCATCTCCTCCCACTTGTGACTGTATCACTGTAACCATGTTGCTTGTATCCCTATGATTTATATTGACTGTTTCCAAGTATGATTTGATTGCTTATTTGTACCCTATGACTATCATTAAGTGTTGTACCTTATGATTCTTAATGAATATATTTTTTCTTTTTATGTACACCGAGAGCACATGCACCAAGACAAATTCCTTGTGTGTCTAATCACTTAGCCAATAAATAGTTTATTTGTTCATTCAAACCCATTTTGGAGGAGTTCCCCAGGTTCAGCCTCTACCTTGGATAAACAGTGGCAGATCCGTTCTTTCGCTTTTATGGTGTAGATCTCTATGTTGGGTTCTGTTTTCATGGTGGCTTTGTACTTCTCGATCGCATCTGCATATCTGTTATTAGAGAACAGCCAAGTAAAAAAAACCAAGATTGGACATGGAGCACAGCTAGTGAACATGGATATAGTAATAGCATTTAGACTTATATACCGCTCCATAGCACTTTAGAGCAGGGTGTCAAACTCAAGGCCCAAAGTGTTTAGATCTGGCATGCGGGGTTGCCTTGGAAACAAAGGACTGGCCCACAGTGCCTCTGCCAGCAAAATGGACCTCCGTTTTTGGCTGTGCTGGCTTCCTGCAGCCCTCTGCCAGAGAAAATGGAGCTTGGAGGGGGCTGCTCAGCTTAGATATTGGTACCCATGCAAACAGAAAACCCACCTCTGAGCTTTGATGTGCTCCTCAGCGGATTCCAGCTGCTTGGTGAGCTTCTTCACTTGCTTGTAGTGGGAAAAACAGTCCTTGTCATCTTGATCAAGCTTCAAGCACTCCCGTACTTGGCTGTGTGTGGAAAAAGGTTGAGAGCGAGAACTGAAAGAGGGAGATGTTTAAAGCCTTCCAGGAAGGGAAACTGAGGCAGAGAGAGGCCCTCTGCTAAGGGATCTCTTCCCTGAAGAATGTCCCCCAGAATTGATAAGTGGTATTTGAGGGTCTGCCACAAAGAAGAGGGTATCGAATTGTTTTCCAAAGCATCACAAGGCAGGCAAGAAACAATACAGGGAAAGAAATCAAGGAGAAAACAACCTGGAATTAAGGATAAACTTCCTAACAGTGAGGACAATTCACTAGTGGAACAGCTTGCCTTCAGAAGTTCTGGGTGCTTCATCACTGGAGGCTTTTAAGAAGAGGCTGGGAAGCCACTCCAAATTCTATTCTGAATTAAAGCTCCAGAAGAAGGAAGATAAGCAGACAATTCAAAGAAATTGAAGGCATAACAGAATAATGGAGTTGGAAGGGACCTTGGAGGTCTTCTAGTCCAACCCTCTGGTTCAGGCAGGAAACCCTATAGTACCATTTCAGACACTTGGGTGTCCAATTTCTTCTTAAAAAACTTCCAGTGTTGTAGCCCCAGAACTTCTGAAGGCAAATCGTTCCATTGATTAATTGTTCTCACTGTGAGGTAGTTTCTTCTCAGTTCTATGTTGCTTCTCTCCTTGATTAATTATAAGCTTCTCTTTTCTATGCATGTTTTTTTAAAAAATAAAACTGCTTTGGCATCTGAATTTACTCCATCGGGAAGCTTTGATGTAGCCATTTATTTATTTATTTTCCCATACAGCTCAGTGTTAACGCCCAAACCCACATACCCTAAATAACCCAAATTGCACAATTATTATTTGGTGTATGATGAGAATGTGTCAAAGAGAACAAAATAAGACCCATTTAAACAATAAAAATGTTATTAAAATCATAGAAAAAAAACGTAATGTGAGGAAGCACAATCCAATTTATTAACATTACAGCCATTTTGCAGGCTCCATGCTATCAGGTTCCCAAGCAAGATGGCAAAGGAAGCATTCAGACCCTTCCTAAAGACCAAAAGGGCAGAAGCCAATATGAGTCCTGGGATAATGATGCTCCAAAGATGATATACAGATAGTCCTGGTTTTACAGTCACTTGTTTAGTGACCAAGTCACTAAGAAAAAGTGACTTATAACCACCACAGCATTCCCAGGGTCACGTGATCAAATTTCTGGCGCTTGGCAATTGGCATGCATTTATGACTGTTGTGTATTGTGATCACCATTTGTAACCTTCCCAGTTGGGTTTCCAACAAGCAAGTCAATGGGGAAGCCTCATTCCCTTAATGACCGCACAATTCACTCAACAACAGCAGTGATTCGCTTAACAATTGTGGCAAATAAGGGCGTAAAAATGGGGCACAACTCACTTCTTGCCTAGGAAAGGAAATTTTGAGCTCAACTGTGGTCGTTAAGTCAAGGATTACCTGTATATATTTCAAAGTTGGGGAAAGAAGTTCCATCAAATCTGTTGATTTGCCAAGTTTCTACATAGTCAATCCTTGACTTACGATCACAATTGAGCCCAAAATTTCTATTGTTAAGGGAGACCTTTGTTAAGTGAGTTTTGCACCATTCTATGACCTTCCTTGCTTCAGTTGTTAGGTAAGTAACCCGGTTATTAAGTGAACCTGGCTTCCCTCTTTGACTTTGCTTGTCAGAAGTTCACAAAAAAGGATAACGTGACCTAGGGACACAGCAACAGTCGTAAATATGAACTGGTTGCCCATCGTCTGAATTTTAATCACATGAGAAATGGTCTTAAGTTACTTATTCAGTGCTGTTGTAACTTTGAATGGTCACTAAAGGAACTTCACTAAAGGGGAAGTTGAGGACTACCTGTAGTGCAAGATGTCAGATCATAAGCATTACTCCACTTATCCTTACCCCAGGGATGGTATATAAACAACAAGAGAATGGGTATGATAGACTAGACTAGAATAACATAACAGAAGGAACCTTGGAGGTCTTCTAGTCCAACTCCCTGCTTAGGCAGAAAACCCCATACCATTTCAGACAAATGGTTATTCAATCTCGTCTTAAAAACCTCCAGTGTTCTTGGAGGTTTCAACAACTTCTTGTTGTATATCTGGGAAGGAAAGCAGGCTCGTTCAAGGTACACTGACTCGAGCTCTCAAATTCTGCGAAGCCACCATGTGACTTCCCTAATTTGGGTTTGGCGTGTGTGAAGGAATGCAGACTTGGCCTTGAGAACAGGGAATAATCCCGCCATCAAAGGGAAAGTTTCAGAAGGGATGAGTCAGTGTGAGGAGAAGAAGAAACTCAAGATGACCCCGCCTTGAGTTTATTTGGCATACAAGCGGAGCAGTGGAAAAAACCCCCACAACAACCTCTTGATAGACTTTGTTTTTCTCCCCTACATCAACAAAAAGCATTCTGGGAATTTCAGCTTCATACCTGTTTTTTTGACCTGGCCTTCCTTAAAAAGCTAATAGGATACCATTGTGGCTTGCAAACCACATTTTACAGCATTGTATCCTGAGCAAACTCAATCAACTTTTTCTTGCTATGTACATTTATATATCATAACTAGACTGTTGTTTCTGTGTCATATAACATATGTGGGTATATTATTTCTTTTTTTCTTTCTCTTTTTTTTTCTTTCTTATTTATACATATACACTTTTGTCATCTTTATGTAGTGCATATTGGAGGTGATGACCCCTTTAAGAGCTGTATTGCAATGAAATTTCATTTTAACGTATGCCGGTTACTGTACATTTAAAATGACGACAAAATTATTCCAAGACTAAGTCTAACTGTGATTTATGGTATATATTTTTTGCTTAAATTATTAAAGACTTAAAGCAGTGGTTTCTCCAGGGTGGCAATAATTTCAGGGGGTCTGTGGAAGTCTCATGAATAAATATTTTACATTTTCTCAATTTTATTTCCAATGCAGTAAATGTCAACGAATCTAAACCACATAAAAGCAAACTCTTTTGAGGTCCTCTTATCATTTTTGACAAGGGTCCTAACATTAAAAGGTTTGAGAAGGGCTGACTTCAAGCAATGGGAAAGATTGGGCACAATTTTTCCTCTTGGTCTTTTGACTGGCCATGGAGCAATGTCCATGCTTCATTTACAGATGGTCTTCATTTAACAACTGCCATTGGGACCAGCAACTTGGTTAAGCAAAGCAATCACTGTAACCACACATGTGCTTGTGATTTTACCTCCGCTTCTCTCTCTTTTCTTAATGGACCTTACAGGTTGTTAAATGTGAGGATTAGTTGTAAAGGTTTTTTTCTTTTCCTCCCCTCACCACTGTAAATGTGAATGGTCGCTAAATGAGACACTGGCTAAACAAGAACTACCTCTACTAGCTTCAGATGACTAAATTCACCCTCCTTCTGCCAGATCTGTGTTTCTCTTCTCATTCACATCCTATTGGACATCATTGTGGCCAATTTCATACAGATAGCTCTTGACTTTCACTCATTTAGTGGCCGTTGGAAGTTGCAATGGTGCTGAAAAATTGACTTATGATTGGTTTTCATACTTATGACCACTGCAGCACCTCCAGGGATCACCTGATCCAAATTCGGGCCTTTGGCAACTGGCATGTACTTAGGATGGGTTGCATTATCCTGGGATCATGTGATCACCATTTCCTTCCAACAATCAAATGGGAGAAGCCAGATTCACTTAACCACATGATTTGCTTAACGACTCTGGCAAAACAAGTTGTAAAATGGGGGCAAAACTCACTTAACAACTGCCTTGCTTAGCAACAGAATTTTTTTAGTGGCAAGTTGAGGACTTCCTTGTAACTCATTTGAAAAATGGAAATTGAGGGCAAATTGCTACCGTTCCCACAGTGCAACTTTTTTCCTGAAACCCAGAATTCAGACCTTGGGATGCTGGGGGACTCCAGAAGACAGTTCTTGGGGTTGATGATGGTCTGTGTGTTGCTCATCTGCTAAGTATGTATGCCAGAAGCACGCGCACAAACACACACACACAGAGCATTGGATTTAATATCGCTCACTCACGTTAAGGACTCCTCGTGCTCTCCCAAGTTGTAATAGAGCTTGCTAAGCTTAAGGAAGGCGGCCCTGTTGTCATTCCGCAGCTTAGTGGTGGGCTTCAAATCCATGATGGCTTTGTTGTAGTCCCCAAGATGGAGGTAACACTCGGAGCGCAGCTCTTTGGGTTCTGGAACCCAAGGAGAGATCTGAAAGAAAGCCGGGGGTGCGGGGAGAGAATGGGGATGCAATGGTTTTACTCAGCCTAATTGTGGTAACATCAACATCATCACAGGAAGGGACCTTGAAGATCTTCTAGTCCAGGGGTGGCAAACTTGATTTCATTGAGGGCTGTATCAGGGTTGTGTTTGGCCTCAGAGTGCTGGTAAGGGGGGATTGATGGGGGCGTGGTCATGGTAGGCATGACACAGGACTTGTGTTCGGGAAGGGCACATGGGGTGGCCAAGTGGTAAGACAAGACTTACCTGAGACCCTCCCTCAGTCTTTATAATCTCCTTCCTTCCTTCCTTCCTTCCTTCCTTCCTTCCCTCTTCATTCTAATTTTTTCTTCCTTCCCCTCTTTATTTTTTCTTCCTTGCTCTCTTCTCATCTTTTTCTTTCCTCTTTCTTTTTTTTCTTTCCTGTCCCTTCTTGCATGCTCAAATGCAAAAGGGGAAACATTTCTCCTTTTGTTTTGTTTTTAATTTGCTTGATAGTCCTCCGCCAGCCAAAATGGGGTGTGGCGGTGTGGACGGATGTGTGCCCCTCCCACCCTGTTTTGGCTAGCAGAGGTCCTCTGCTATTTCCAGGCCAGTCCCATTGGCCAGATTTAAGCACCTCTTCAGTTTGACACCCCTCTTCTAATCCAATCCCCTGCTCAAGCTAGACACCCAGTACCATTCCAGACAAATGGCTGCCCAGTCTCTTCTTAAAAACCTCCAGTGATGGAGAACCCACAACTTCTGGAGGGAAATCGTTCCACTGATTGTTTTCACAGAAATTTCTCCTTATTTTTCTCCTTTGCTTCTTGTTCTGCCTTCAGTGATTTGGAAAATAAGTGGACCCCCTCTTCTTTGCGGTAGCCCCTCAAATATTGGAAGACTGCTATCACATCACCTCTAAGTACTACTTTTCTCTAGAATAGACTTTATGCAGTCTTCCTAACCAAATACGTTCTCCAGGTGTGCTGCAACAGAGCCTCAATGCCACCAGCTACAACCATCCAATCAATCTAAATTTGAGTGGCTGGACAAAGCCACTGAAGAATCTACCACTTTGTCCCTTCCATTCAATTGTCAATGGGTTATGGTCAGCCCAAGTACTTGTTTCAATATTTACTTCTTGAATACTAGACATTAAATCTGTTGAGATCCAAATCATATCCAGTCTGGACCATGATAGATGCCTATTTGAATAGAACGTAAATTGCTTAGATTTAACATTTCTTTCTCTCCATATGTCTTTTAAAGTTAATTCATCTATCATTTTAAAAAAGGATTTAGGAAGAATTTTCCTGTTATGCTTTACTGTTGTTGCAATATAGTCAAGTCTATTATCCACAATTCCATTAAAGTCTCCCATCATAATTACATTAGCATAGTCAAGTTCGGCAGTCTTAGTATGTAATTTTCTATAGAATTCTTCCTGTTTATCATTCGGTGCATAAATTGCAATCAAAAGTATCTTTCTATTATTGTCCATTATTTCTACCATTAATATTCTCCCATCATCATCTGTATAAATCATTTTTGCTGGAATGGCCTCTTTAATATATAAAACCACCCCTCTTTTCTTGGATTGTGTCAAAGAGGTAAACAATTTCCCTAATTTTGGTTGTAATAACAATTGTTCATGTTGCTTTTTAATATGAACTTCTTGTAAACAAATTATGTCGAACCTTAATTTCATTAATTTATGGAAAATCTTCCTTCTCTTAGCAGCTGAGTTCAGTCCATTTATATTCATTGTAATCAATTTTTTTTCTTCCATAATTATGCTTTATATTTAGATTTAACCACTCTCGTGGGTCTTGCCTCACGTTGATCTTTAATATCCACTTGTCCACCTACTGCACCTTCTTCTTTTCCAACCTCCATTTGTTCCTCTTGAGATTCAATTGATGGGACCTCCTTTCCTGCTCCTCCTTCTCTGCCTCCAAAAACCTCTGCGCAAAACAGTTCTGCTTTCTCAATTGAATCAATTCTATGTCTCTGTTCCTGCCACGTAAACATCAATCCTTCTGGAATCAACCACCTGTAAGACACCTCTTTTTCCAATAACCTTTTAGTCAGGAATCGGTATTCTCTTCTCATCTCTCTCACTCTTCTAGGTATTTGTTTTAAAACCAAAATTTCTTTACTTTTGTATTTCAGTGGCTTCCCTCTTGCTACTTGCAATATTTGTGTCTTCAAAGATTTTTTAATAAATCTAATATGAACTTCTCTGGGTAGGTTATTTCTCATCGCATATCTTGTAAAAACTCGATATATCTCATCAATTCCATCCATCATCTTCTCTTCTGTTATCTCGAGCGCCTCCGCCAAAATTCCTACCATTATCGCAACCAAATCTTGTCCTTTTTCTTCTTCTATATTTTGGAATCTAAGATAAAATTCTGATCTATCCAACTCCCACTTCAACATCTCACTTTTTTCTTGTTCAATCGCTGTTAATCTATTGTCGATATTTCCAATTTTCTCCTCTCTTTGTTTGCCTCCCTCTTCAACATTTTGGAGTCTCTCTTCATATTTTTCCATCATCTGTTCCATCCTACCTGTTCTTTGTTCAATAGTATCCATTTTTACCTTAAGATCTTGAATTCCTTGCATAATCATCTGGAAGGATACTCTTTCTTGTTCTTTTTCTTTCTCTTTATCTTGCTTTAACAATGTCTGAATTGAACGCTGTCCAGATGGTGGGGAGGCAGAAGCAGACATAGAGGCACCCGAAGATATAAATTTCTTACTCATTTTAAGTGGTTCCAACTCTTCAAGTTTTTTCAAATTTTAATCCACAAAAAAAAGAGAAAAAAAAAATATGAAATTTTAATCCAAGGTAAAAAGGCCAACAATAAAAAAGCCAAAAGTGAGAGAAAAAAAAGAAAAAAAGAAAAAAAAAAAAATTCTTCAAATTCTTCCTGACCTTAGTCCAAAAAAAAAAGAAAAAAAAAAAACCAAAAAAAAAAGTAACAGTAAAAATAAAAACCCAATAATAATAATAAACAAGACAAAGCCAAAAAGGAAGAAGGGAAGAAGAAAAAGAGAAAAAACAAAAAACAAAACAAAAACCAAGAAAAATAAGTTTCTTCAGATTCCACACCTTAGTCCAGCCAGAAAAAAAAAAGAAAAAAGAAAAAACCTCAATTAAAAAAAGGAAAAAGAAATAGTCCGCTAATGTACATTAAAAAAAAAAAAAGGAAAAAAGAGAAAACAGGATCCAAATAGGCAAAAGAAAAAATAAAATCAGTTAAATCAAAATAAAATATAAGTAGAAAAAAGAAATTCAGAGGCTTCCCTTTGCAAATAAATCAAGCTTAAAAGTCAGGACCTTGATGTTAGTGAAGGGGTTGGCAGAACTCAAAAAAAACAACAACACTGCACTCTATTTAATTATCCAAGGCTCTAATTATAACTCCCTTCTCTTTCCCACAAGCTTCAAAGCTGAGCCATGTATATCCAGAAAGACACCTGTAATAATATTCCACAAAGTGCTTTCCTCTATCTTATCAGGGGATGTCCTTGAGAAGAAGAGTCTATTTTTCTTTTTTTTAAATATTTCCGAGCCTCTAGGTGGCAGTGTTACAAAGTATCATAGTTCTCACTTTCCCCCCTCCTCTCTTAAGGGAAAGCCGGCTTGGAATACACAAAACAGAAACCGAGAAATCAAACAAAATCAAGAGAAGCCTCTAGCCCAGAAAAAAAAAAAAAATAAAAAGTCCAGAAGAAGAATAAAACATATGAATATATAAAAAAAAGAAAACAGTCCAGTTATCCAATAAGTAACAATAGAGTCCGGAAGCAAAGAAAAGAAAAAAAATGGATTCTCTCTTTGACGTTTCCCTAAAAAAACGCCGCTAAATCAATTTTGTCAAAAAACAAAACAAAAATCACACAGGTTTCTTCAGATAATTAGAGTAAACTTTCCAAATTCAAAAAATTAAATAAAAAAAAGAAGTTCTCACCCAACCGACAAACTCTTTCTCAAACTCTTTCCGTCTGGAGTCGCCCCGGCCTCAGCAGCATGGGGGCTGCCTCTCCGCCGCTGGCAAGAAGAGCTTCACCCGGGCTCTCCAGGGATTTTGCGGTATCCCCGGAATCCTCAGGATATGCTCTTCACGATGGCTGTCCCTACGGGACAGCGTAGGTCCGTTGGACCGGCCAGTGGCGGAGATATCGGCTGCAATCGAGGAGCTCGATTGCAGACCGTATCGCCACGGCGCAAGCTCCTCCCATCCAAAGAAAAAGATCGAGATGGACATTAAATAATTCTATTTTAAAGGATAAGGAATTTATACAATGGATGGAGAAAGAACTGGCCTTCTTCTTTAAAGAGAACAGAAAAGAAGACACCTCAATACAGAATGTTTGGGACACAATGAAGGCCTATGTTAGAGGCTTGATAATAGACTATACAAGAAAAAAGAACAACAGGAAAAGGCGAACTCTTAAAGCCTTGGATGATGAATATAAGGGACTTGAAAAAGAATTACAGAAAATGCCACACAGAAAAGATGTTAAAATGAAACTGGATATAACTAAACATAAAATGGATTTAATAGAGAAAGAAGAACTGGCACAGAAAATTAGGAATGCTAAACAGAATTATTTTGAGGATGCAAATAAGCCAGGTAGATGGCTAGCGTACAAATTGAGAAAGGAGAAAGAGTCGAGGAAAATACCGCAGTTAATAGACGATCAAGGTAAAATTTGTTATGGCAGCAAAGAAAAAAAAGAGATTATTTATGATTTTTATAAGCATTTGTATAAGAAAGAAGACATTGATGAGGAGAAAGTTAAACAATACCTACAGAATGCAAATCTACCTAAGATACCTAAAGAGATTGAAGAAATGCTAGAAAGTAATATAACAATGATGGAGTTAAGTCAAGCACTTAAGAAACAAAATAATGGAAAGGCACCAGGTCCAGACGGGTTTCCTGTAGAATTTTATAAAATCTTTCAAGAATCACTGTGTATTCCACTGTTAGAAGTTATGAATGAAGTTATGTTAAAAAAGATGATACCTAAAACATGGTCAGAGGCTTACATTACACTTATTCCAAAAGAGGAGGCGGACCTACTGCAAATCAAGAATTATAGACCGATTTCTTTATTAAATGCAGATTATAAAATTTTTGCTTCAATATTAGCAGAAAGACTTAAAAAGTACTTGAATAACTTTATCCACCCAGACCAAAATGGGTTTTTGCCAAAGCGACAAATTAGAGACAATATGAGAGTAATTCTGGACACCCTGGAATACTATGAGGCACATCCTGAAAAGCAAATGGCTTTGATATTTTTAGATGCTCAAAAGGCATTTGATAACGTGAATTGGAGATTTATGTTACTTTTAATGGAACAGATGGGCTTTGCTAGAAGATTTATTCAGGCAATAGAAGCAATTTATAATGAACAAACAGCTAAGGTAATGATGGAGGGAGAATTTACAGATCCTATTAATATAAGAAAAGGCACAAGACAAGGTTGTCCTCTTTCTCCCTTGATATTTGTATTGACTTTGGAAGTGTTGAACAGAAATATCAGAGAAGACAAAACTATAAAAGGAATGAAAATTAAAAAGGAAGAATTTAAACTACAAGCCTTTGCAGATGACCTAGTCTTTATCTTGGAAGACCCTATAGAAACAGCCTCGAAACTGTTGGAAAAGATAGAGGTCTATGGGGAGGTGGCTGGTTTGAAAATAAATAGAGATAAAACAAAGATTTTGTCAAAGAATATGTTGCTGAAACAAAGGGAAGAGTTGGCAGAACTGTTAAAAATTCAAGTTACAAACAAGGTTAAGTATCTGGGGATATATTTGACATCAAGATGTAGTACATTGAAGGAGAATAATTATATTAAACTTAAACAACAGATAGCTCAAGACTTGAAAAAATGGGAGAACTTACAATTGTCATTAATAGGAAGGATTTCAACAATTAAGATGAACATTTTACCCAGAGTCTTATTTTTGTTTCAAACAATACCAATTAGGCTTGGAAAAGAATATTTCGAGGATTTAAATAAAATTGTTTTGAAGTATATATGGCAAGGTAAGAAAGCAAGAATAAAGTTAAAGCTTTTACAGGATGCTAGATTTAGAGGAGGGTTTGGACTGCCTAATTGGGAGTTGTACTACCAAGCTGCAAACTTGACGTGGGTTAAAGAATGGATAACATTAAGGAAAACCAGATTGTTGACATTAGAAGGTCATGATTTGTTGTTGGGCTGGCATGCTTTTTTATGGTACAAGGGAACTAAAACACAGGGGTATTTTAGAAGGCATTATATACGGGAGTCTCTGTGGTTGAATTGGGAGAAGATAAAAAAACAGTGTTATTTGAAAATTCCAGTTTGGTTATCGACGATAGAAGCGTTTTCTTATCCTATAATCTATAAAAAGGAACAAACAGTTAACTATGGGGAATTATTAGATGAAAAGGGTGAACTTAAATCGATGCAAAAATTGGAAGAACAAGGTATACGGATGAATTGGTTTTCATATTTGCAAATATATTCAAAGTACTATGAGGATTCCAAAGCAGAGGGATTTTATGATAAGCAAACTGACTTGGATAAGATTTTGATGGGTACTGATGAAAAGGTGATTAAAAAATTGTATGGTTATTTATTGCAAATTAAGCTTGAGGAAGAACAAGTTAAAGAAACTATGATTGCGTGGGGGAGGAATTTTGGATATGGGATTGATTTAGAGAAATGGCAGAAATTATGGTCGCAAAATTATAAAATGACAATGTCTACAGCCTATAAAGAAAACTTGTATAAGATGTTTTACAGGTGGCATTTTCCCCCGACAAGGATAGCAAGAATGTTTAAGAACAAATCCGAAAAATGCTGGAAATGTCATCAGAAACCTGGTTCATACTATCACATGTGGTGGACTTGTGAGGATGCTAGAAAATATTGGACTAAAATCCACATGTGGTTGGAAAAAATGACAAAGAAGCATATAGACTTGAAACCGGAGTTTTTTCTATTGGGAATACTACCAGATACTTATAGTAAAGAGTTGAAATATTTGATTGTAAATGTATTGACTGCTGCTAGGATTGTATTTGCAAAAAATTGGAAAAATGAGAAAATTCCATTGCAAGAAGAAGTTGTAAAGAAAATTTTGGAATGTGCTGAGATGAGTAGATTGACTTTTGAAATTAGAGAGCAAGAAGATAAACAATTTTATTTAGTTTGGGATCTTTTCTATCAATGGTTGAATGATGAAATATTAAAATATAAAAGTTAGATAATAAGGAATAATAATGACTTTATTTTCCCTTTCCTTTTATTGGTTTTTGATACTATATTTATATAATAGTTTTCTTTGTTTCTTTCTTTTTCATATTTGGGATAGAATTGGTATGATTATAAGATTTGTTTTAGAATAAAATATTTAAAATATAGTTATCTCATAAAGGCATGACCGAATAAAAGTTTAGTCAAATTTTTTTTTTTTTTTCTTTAATAGAGATACTAGGATTTATAAATTTGTATTGATAAGAGTATTATATAAAGTAACTGTAATTGTGACTATGAGGTGAATGCACAAGACCGATGGACCAACCGACTTACGGTGTGTACAAAAATATGGGGGAGCTGATACTTTTATGTTTTGTTGTTGTGTTTTTTATGTTAAAAAAATAATAAAAATTTATATAAAAAAAAAAAAGAATCTACCACTTGAGAAACATTAGCCATTTTGAAAAAAACAAAAAAGTGTTAAATATTGCCTGCAGGGGCTTGCGTTCATTGTTTTGCACCTCTGTTCTACTGAATATATCAGAATAAAAGCGCATCAAAAGAAGTAAATTCTGCTTAATAGCAATATAGCACTTAGACTTATACAACACTTCATAATACTTTACAGCCCTCTCTAAGAGTCAGCATATTACCTCCAATAATCTAGGTCCTTGCTTTACGAACCTCAGAAGGATGGAAGGCTGAATCAACCTTGAGCCAGTCAGGATCGAACTCTTGACAGTGGGCAGAAACAGCCTGCAAAACTGCATTCTAACCACTGTGCCACCATGGCTCTAACACCTTTCTAAAGGATTTCTTCACAGGGATGCTATATATACTGCCCATTGCTGCTTTAAAAGGGCTGTGTTCAGACTTCAAGGCATCTAAATACCATAGACATGGTTTGGATCTAGTTGGCCTCAGACCAATCTGCATATTGATCCTAGAAGTTTTGGATTCTAATCAGTGGTGGATTCTACCAGTTTCCCTACCAGTTCGGTGATGGTGCACTTCATCCGCATGCAGCTTTTTAAACACCAGCTGAGGCGGGACTGCTGATCTTGCGCTTTTCTCTTCTTTATCCTCTCAGCTGATTGTCAGAGCTTTTTTACTACCAGCTCGGCCAACCAGTAGCATTTCACCACTGATTCTAATGCCAGTAAAACATGAGAGACCATTTTAGGACAGGAGAGAGACCCAGTCAATTTCTTTAAAATTCCAGTGCTAGTGCAAGACTGCTAGACAACGTTACCATAGAGAAGATAAGTTAAGAAAGTACCTCAATTACTCGATCCAGAAAACTGACTGCTCCCAGATAGTTTTTTTTCTGAAAGGCAGTCTGAGCTTCTTGCATGGAAAATTCCTGCTCAGTGACTCTGGACAGTTGGTTCTGGGCTTCTGCATCATCCGGATTGCTCTTGAGCTGGGGAAAGTTTTTTTTTTTTTTTAAAGTTATGTATACATACTGCATATAAATGGATACACACTGTTTACATTCCTTTGTGGAGTATATTAAAGAAAAATGCTCAGTTCAAACAGATCTGGACAGCAGTTTGTTTATTTAGCAGTGTTTCTATTCCACCCCTCTCCAGAGACTCTGAGTATCCAGCAAATAATCGAATAGAAACTCATAAAATAACAACAATAATCATGGCACGAGGATGGGATCAAAGAAGAAATGTCTGAAATGCTTAGGGTAGAAAAACAATCACCACTCCAGCTCTCAATCTGCATTTTTTTCCATTAAAAAGCAGCGCTTTCTTGCTACAGGAAAACACTGGAGTTTGGGCACCACAGATTTCAGGGTGCTGAATATCCCACAGGAACAAAAATATTTAAAAGTCCTGCTTCTAGGGCACCCTGTCCAATTCCCACTGCGGGAGATGTCAAGAGGAGAATGACAAGGCATCACTGCATGATGCATCAGATGGGATGGGTAGATTCCAACCCATGGTTCATTTGTGGCTGGAGAAGCATTCAGATTATCTAGTAGCCCGATAATCTTGGCCACCCCTCTTTCCCTTTTCAAAAAGGTATTTTCTGTAACACCCTGGTTTTAATTCAAAAACCCAGGCTGTCAGCTCACTAACGGAATTTGTTGCTACTAAGGAATGTTGTTTCTGGTGCACAAATCAAAAGAATGACACCTGGATATCCTTAAATCCTATCTAGCCAGGGAGGGAATATGAGCATAATTCCTAAAAAGTTTCTTGAAACAGGTATTTTCCTTACCACAGCTTCAAAGTCTTGTTTTGCTTCCTGGGTGTACCCTTGTTTCAGAAGGATATTGCCTCGCTGAAGCCGGGCCTGTGGAAATGGAGAAGATCAGATCCTTCAGAGCCTTCCCCAAATTAGAACGAACTTCCCCAAATTAGAACACGGCCCATTGTTTGTTTTTTTAAAGACCAGGTCAGCACCTTGGGACCAGAATAATCCCATTTTTCCTTAAGAATCCCTCTCTGCTTAATGTCAGCTAGGACAGGAGGACAGAAGGTGAAAGTAAAAAGAACTTACCGCAAGGAAGTCTGGCTTGAGCTCAATAGCTTTGGAGAGATCTGGCAATGCTGATTTAAACTTGCCCATAGCCAGGTAAATGGTGGCCCGTTTGTAATAGGTAAGGTAATTTTTCGGATCAATTTCTGACAGGAAGAAAAGAAATCAGCCACAGTGTCAGTATCAGCTTGCTTGTGCTTCATTACCATGAAACTCTGCAATGGACTCTGGGGATGGTGGATGGGAGGGAGAAAGTGAAAGTAACTGCTTCATGTCCAGAAGATACTGCTTCAAGGCCACCCAGCTGGCAGACGAAGGTAGCGGCATACTAACCTAAGCTTGAAGTGACCATTCTGAAAACATCTTGCTTGAACCTGATTGGTCATGGTGTGTGTGTGTGTGTGTGTGTGTGTCAGCAGTGGGAGGCAGTCAAGGTAGAAAAAAGTTGAACTTAGGAATTTTGGTGTGCAATACTCAGTTCTGGCTGTGCACTGGACTAATGCAAGGAACTAATAAAACTATATTTTTCTCAATAAATGGAGCCAAATATCATTTCTGCTTAGAATATTGTCAGTCACTGAGTGTATATCAAGCAGGAAGGCAGAGTAACAGGTAACCTTGCTAGCATTCTAAACTAGCCAACTTGCAGCTCTGCCTCCATTTGTGATGCGCAACACCAGAAAAGCAGCATGGAAACAAAGAATGTGGTCCCTCACTGGGTGCTACTGCCTGAGTATGCAAAATCCTTCCCAGAGTCGTTTTGCAAAAGATCCAATGCAGAAATGGCTACATCTTCCTGCAGCAGCTGCCAGCAGTGGGTCAGAGCATCCTGGAGCTGTCATTATATTGCTATTGTCTACTGCACTATTATGAAGATTAAAAATGGGTGGTAGGGGAGAAAATTGCGCCCTGTGATAAAGGGAGGCCAGGCTAAACATCTCAATAGAAATATTGAGAGCAGCTACTGAAGGAAAGGAGTCTTGCTACTTATCTAATAAATAGTTCATCAAGTTTGCTAAAAGGAGAAAATATCTGAATTTGAAGAAACCATTATGCGAGGGGTTATTTTTTGCAAAAGACACGGCCCATTCATAGCAGGCACATCTTAAAAATGGCATTTTTCCCTTGTGTTTCATATTAGAAGATTTTAAAAATACTTGAAGTTAAAATAATATTTTTTAAATAAACTGATCCAGGTCCTGGCAGCAGGGCCATTATTTTTAGCTTCTTACTTTTATCTATTAAGCCTATAAAACACACTAGTCCTACAATGCAGCACAGGGGTCCCCAAATTTGTCAACTTTAAGATTTGCGGACTTAAGAATTCTGGGAGTTGAACTGACTTAAAGTTGTCAAGTTTGGAGACCTCTGATGTAGCAGATTTACCTGTTTAGAAGTTATTAATAGTTAATAGTCATTTTTTTTGCTGAAGAACAAGATAGACTTGTTCCAGTCCGATTCATCTAATTCTCCTTTAAATGGCCTGGGCTGATTCCTATAGCTTTAAATTACTCCTACTAGAGAAATTGGACAGTGCCACAATGTTAAGGTAACTCTATCAGCCAATGTAGCTTTTTTTCAATAGGCAGTTGGCATCCTGAATTGGCATTCCAAGGCTAGTACTTACCCACTGCTGAATGGTAGTGTGAGAGAGCTTCAGCCAGCTGCCCAGCAGCCAGTAGCTTTCGACCCATTTCTAGATGGTTGTCAATCTCAGCTTGCCCAGCAGCCAACAAACCTGGAAAAGAATGAAGTGATTCAGGAGACAAAGAGCTAGGACCATGCTTCTCAATGATGGCAATTTTAAGATGACTGGACTTCAACATCTTTGCCAACAGCATGCTAGTATAAAATTCTGACAGCTGAAGGCCTCATGTGCTGGCTGGGGATTTCTGGAAACTGAAGGCCTCACGTGCTGGCTG